AGCAGCTGTACTGACACCCTGATTATCTGCCAGCAAGTGAGACTGCAGCTCCTCAACAAAGTCCCACTGCTGGATGTCCTCCAGCAAGGAAACACTGTAAAAACCTACCTACAAACAGGGAGGCAGAGTTACATCTCAACCAAATTTTTTTTAAAATAAACTGCTTTAAATACCTACTTCAGAGAGCCTGGACAGAGTAGTGTAGCTTTCCTCTCACTATCTAAATAAGGCCTCTAACAATGTTATCACTTTTCAAAACACATCTGTCCCGCAGCTCCTAGCCCAGACAATTGGCAGGTAACCAGTTAATAAATGTCTTCGCCAGACTGTTGAATAGGCTGGCCCTGGCTCAAGAGTGATGTCAGGGCCATTCAATGCACTATAATTGGAAAAACCTGGGAAAAGCAATCCCGTGTTTTTTAATAAATAAAGAGTGTATTAGCAGCCTCCTGCTTTTATTCACCACGGTGTCTACCTTGTTCAGTAGCAAAGTGGGATATTTTTTTTTTATGCTGCCGTTCAACTCAGTGATTTCTACTTGGAATTTGATGCCAGTTTCCAGATGTGTCTCAGGCCAGGAAGTCAGCAATCAGCGTGGATAAAGCCTCTGGGATTAGCTGCAGATCATCTTCTGACACATACATCCTTCCTGCACCCTCTCTTATGATATCGGGGCACACCCCTTGTGCCCAAAAATAAAACAAAACAATCCAGAGCCAAGCAAAGGCCCTTGACTAGGATGCTTTGCTCACTTTCATATTAAATATGTGGGAATATATTTATATATTTAATTCATTCAGTCCATCAAAGCCCCAAAGGCACCTTTTGAGGGATCTTTACAATACCAGTGTTTACATACATAAATCACTTTCACAATTGCAGGTTCCCTGTCTGCTGGAGCAGCTCCAGGCAAAGCTCATCTCCCACAGCTCCTCACCAGTGGTACCCGCAGGAGAGCATCAGCTCCCCAGCTCAGCCACAGAGTGCTGGAGGGGGGATGAATCCTGCAAAGCAGTTGCCCTCAGAGGAAGTAGTGAAAATGATAAATGAGTTTTCTGGGCTCTGTGTGAGCAACTTTGGGAAGCTAAAACTCAAGTGGGTGACATAAAGGATGTGGTTTGCATGGAAAATAATCCCAAGCAGAAGCACCCTGACAGCAACATGCCTTTCAAACCTCCCTGCGTCCCTGAGAAATGAACTCCCCAGACTTCCCAGCTGGGAGGAGAGGGGCTTAGCTCCACACAGCCAGGCTTCTGCAGGATGGAGGGATCCCAGCCCAAGGGGACACAATTATTGAATTGCCAACAAATAATTTATTCCCCTCCGCAGGCATTTCAGAGGCTGTTGTCTGGCTCCTTTAGCTCATGTTGTGATTCCTTTCATCTCCCCATCAAAGCACAACCAAATTAACACCAGCCCTCCCCGCAGTGATTGTCCCCCCACACGCTCCCACAGCCGCTCTGCTTTAACAGGGCACCTGGGAGCCACTGCCAAAACAGGAAAGCAGGCGCCTAATTGAAAGGGAGTATTTGGGAGTCACCCTACACAAAAACTAGCAGAGATATGCTAGGAAAATAAAAGAGTGGGCATTAACCGCCGTCTTATCTTCTTTTTTTCCGTGACTCTAACGTTCAGGACACGAAAAGGCCAAAAAGTTTCACATACTGTTCTGAGGAGCTGGTCATGGAGAGGAGCATCCTCTCCTCTACATTCACTGCTCCTCCAAAAATAACTCTGGCTGATCTTGAGGTATGAACCTCCAGAATTAAAATGCAAAAATATGCAATCCAAAAGAAAAAACCCTATGTCGCTACCATGAAAATTTGTGCCGGGTCTTGGTTAAGGGTTGAGAAGTTGAGCACTGACCGATTTCAATTCACCTGTGTTAGGTTTGGTAAAAGCACTAACCTGTGCCTAAGGAGAAAGGGAATATGGATGTTTTCTGTCTGAAGGAAGGAGCACGATTCTGGAGGTGGGACCAAATATTAAGGCGAGTGGCCAGAGACAGCTCAATGAGGTTGGTTTTCAGACAGTACAGGGAACCCCTCTCCTCACTACCCACCCCTGTCTGAGATCGCAGCCTGAGGCTGTTCCCTAGCCCCAGGGGAAGTGCCAGCTGGAGTCAAGGGAGGATTTAGGATTAACTCCAAGAAATCAGACAGTCCCACCCCACCCTGCAGGCAGTTTGTGGAAAGGAGCGAAAGCCTCGGGTCAGGAAGAGGCACAGGGCAGGCTGGCAGGGAGCAGTCCCAGCGGGGTCAGCAGCATCTGGACAAGTAACAGAGTTAACCCTGTCTGCTGGAGCCGCTCAGCATCTCCAGCCGCAGCTCCGGGCTGCAGGAATCCGGCTCGGGAGGGAGCCACGGCAAGAGAAAGGGAAAAAAAAGGAGCAAAAGCAGCGGGAAACCCTGCTGAGAAGCCCCCTTTTGTGTAAACATGCTCCGTCCTCAGACTAAAAATAAAGGCAAACCACAGGAAGGGAGTGAGTGCTTGGACAATATCCGATTTGGTGTGTGCCTGGGTGTGAGCTGCGGGAATGGGGAGAAGAGCAGACTCCACCCAGCGCAACCACACAAAGGCAGCCGGGTAAGACCTTCGA